GGAAGATTTTTTTTTAAAGAATTATAAATCAATCAATTGTATTTAAAAAAGAGATGACACTTGTCACAACCACAATTGCCGACTGACTTCTGTTTTAATAAATAAAGATAATTAATAGTTAGAAAGAAGAAGTACTTTGTAATTCACATATCTTGTAGGAGATGAGAACGTCTTATCTGTATAATTCTCTTCTCCAATTTTCTCATCTATGTTTATTTTCCTTCACCAACATATTTCCTAACTAGCCTTCAATTCGAAATCAGCAAATTGAAAGGAATTGCTAAAGATATCAAAAAAGAAGAAGTGTTGTAATGATTTTCATTTGGAATATAAATGAGAGGTAATAACTACTCAGAAAGTTAATTTACTTACTCGATTCTGGAATCTCCAAGGAAAAGAGATCGGTTTTGTTCTTGTCATTGTCGTAACATGCACAAAAAAAAAGATATCTCCGGGATTTTAAGGATAAAATATTTCTGAGTGGTAAAGATGAATTTCAATTGATAAAATATGTAGAGAAAGATGAACCAGTCTCAATGAGATCTTGAGATTGTGAGGACTACAACCAACCTCAATCGCATTCCAACAATCTTCATCAAGACCACTAATAAAAGCTTCCATAAACCTTCTGAAAGTGCATGTTGGATGAGTTTTAGAATTCAGTATGAGGAGATACAAATGAGTTGAGAAGCTGATGGTAAAGGTGGTGAAACATGAAGATGAAACTGTTGAAGCAGTGACATGTACCAGTCGTGAAGTACTATAGGAGGTTGTACGGACAGACTGGCTGGTCTTGAGCGACGTGGGCTCAAGAAGGTGGGCCGGACCGGATGTGTGAAGCTAGCTTAGAGCCCAAGATGACACAGCTAAGCTAGAGGATATACTTAGAGAGGATCCAAGCTTGAAGACCTTCCTTATCTTGTGCTAAGAATAAGGAAGGGGAATATACTCACGAAGATTTGAAAAATCAAGATCTTGCGTGGAGTAGCGACCAAGGCTAGGGTTAGCCGTGTTATCCTATTGTGTATAAATAGGAGGGGCGTGAGTTTTGTAGAGCTTGACCCCCACGATGTGAGAGAACTCTTAGTAAAGGTTTTGGGGGGTTCATGAAAGAACATAAAACAATGGGGCTAATGGTTTGTCTTGTAATGTTTACTATATATAGTGTATAAATATGTGAACGGAAAGGCTAGATTAAGGAGATTACATGAAACTTGTAAGTACGCTTGATGATTGATCTAGTAATATATTCTTGAGAAAAAAAAACCCCGTGTTATTTGTGTTGGTCTGTATTACGTACCTGTAGTACTCTCTGTAGCAGTATCTCTTGCACTTACAATTGGTATCAGAGAAGGCACTTGTCCGTATTTTATATAAGTGAGATCTTGTGAAGAGAGTTGAGAGCTACAAACTGGTCTAAGATGATGTTGAAGACAAAACAAGGGTGGAAAGAGAGGTACATGATTGCTGAAGAAGATTCAGAAGACGAAAATGATGATTCAGAAGATTTGAACAATTTTGTTGCATCTGTGGGAAGCATTGGCACATCAAGATTTTTTGCTACAAGTTCTCGAAAAGAGTGAAGAAGCTTAGACATCAAGGGAAGTTCGCTTGGGATGGGGATCGAAATTAGATATGGGTGAAAAAACAGATATGCAGTCAATGTGGATGGTAGAACCTGCACAGCTAGATTTGTTAAGAGTTTCATGAAGATTGAGTCTTCCAAGTATGAAATCAAGAACACAAAGGATTGAAGATGATTCTTATTGCTGTTTCCGTCAAAACTTAAGAATACAAGAGTTTCAGTGTCAAGAATTACGGATCCCCTTTTTGAGGGAGTTACATTAATATTTATAGTAGACTAGGTCAGCTAGGTAACCCTAGAGAAAGTAGGAAGCATTCCTTATCCTTTAGAAGTTTCCTTTCCATGAAGTCGGCCACTCCTAGTGGGCTGCGCCGACCTACTCGGCCCTCCTCGTCATGCATTGGGTTCGGCCCACCTCGTCCATCACGGGCTGCACCTCGTCATGGGCTTCACGCTTCTGCAAACCCACTTCTCCATAACGAATTTGTCTTTGCCGCTAAGTAGTGTTCTTGGCCTTGCCAAGCTTGGCGGTCTAGTTTTGCCATTTCGACAGCACCATCGTGGAGTCCGTCACAGGTCACCTTGTCACGCACTCTGCCATGCCAGACAAAGCAGCTCATCACCTAGTCTATCCTACCATACATGTCACCTTGTCACGTAGTCTGTCATACTAGACAAGGCAGCTCGTCACCCAGTCTGTCCTGCCAGACATGTCACCTTGTCACGCAGTCTATCATGCCAGATAAGCCAGCTTGTCACCCAGTCTGTCCTGCCATACATGTCGCCTTGTCACGCAGTCTGTCATGTCAGACAAGGCAGTTCGTCACCCAGTCTATCCTGCCAGACATTTCACCTTGTCATGCAGTCTGTCATGCCAGACAAGGCAGCTTGTCACCTAGTCTGTCCTGCCAGACATGTCATCTCGTCATGCAGTTTCCATACTTAGCCATTTTGTGGCTTTGATCTTACAGGGATGGAATCCGACCCCTACAGTTAGCCCCCAGCTCGATAGTATCAAGTATGATGGTACCGCGTTGAGAATTATTGCAAGGATAAGATCAATGTTTCTGCCATACTCGCTCCTGGGTGACTGCAAAAATCGCGACTTGATTTGAATAACCACGTCTTCCTGAGCCCAAGTGATTATGCCAACCGAGCTTAAACCGAACGCCGCCTTGCCACACCAAGTAATACCATAATGTCACGTTTGGAAAAAGATATTTTTTAAAGCCATCGCCGAATGTTCCTCGACGAGGTGAACTCGAGAGATACATGGAGATCGAGACTGAGAATCA